AGACGGGGGACCCCAGGACGAACGGACGCCGAGCCCCATCTTTTCTGCCACGACTGTTTTGCCAGGCTGACCTTAGTCTGAGACCCGGGTCTGGTCCCAACTTGCAAAATGGGGAAATGGTGGGAAAATGCAGCCCCCACCCCAGTGGGTAGCGGTATGTAGTAAGCTCTCCCTGAAAAAAAAGGAGCATGCAAATCAGGGAGGTCTGGGAAGGTCAAAACAGTCAAGATGGTGGCTGAAAAAAAGGAGTCTGCAAATCAGGGGGGTTGGGAGGGGTCAGAAAAGTCAGGATGGTGGCCGCAACCATACAATTGAAGCCCTGCCCTTTTTTTACATGCATTACATGTAAAAAAGAGCGGGGCTTTGATCATATAGTTCTGGCCACCATCCTGATTTTTTTTTAATACTGTTTTATTGTATTATAAGACACAACTAATCCATTATATCATTTTTTCTCACCCTCAGCAACTTCAAGATGCGTGGACTTCACCTCCCAGAATTCCCCAGCCAGCCCCGGCCGGCCGGGGAAGTCTGGGAGGTGAAGTCCACGCATCTTGAAGTTGCTGAGGTTGAGAAACACTGCATTATATTATTTGGGCGCAGTGATATTTATTCAGTATTAACCAGAGACTTTTAACACTATGATGATTTAGGTAACTGAAACCTTTAAAGATGGGGGGGGGGAAGTTTATATCAATATTAACTAGGCTTTCTGAAACGTTCACGTTCACAGACATAAGGTTGCTTACGTCGTACATCTGGAGCTGAGTGCAGTGTTGATAAACAGCTGCCAAGTGCATTCAATTATTCCGTTATATAATGAACATTTCTACCTTCATACTGAATACCAAGCTCTCTCCTGTACTGCTACTTGTTTAGGCCTATCGGAAAAGAAAAAGAAAAAGAAAAAGAAAGCCATCTTGACTTTTTCGACCCCCTTCCCGTGGACACCCCTGATGCCAATCCTTCTGAAAGGGGCTTCTGGGGGCTCCTCCAGAGGTCTGGGCGTCGCAGCTCCCCTGATGGCGTCGTGGGGCGCTGCCCTCTTGGGGCAGATGGGAGAAGACGCCACCCGGGTTTCTCGCCGATCCGGTTCTAGTTCTTGGGCGATGACTCACCGCGGCCGAGCCCTTCGCAGCCCGGTTGCCCCAGGGAGGAGCAAGAGCAAGGAAAAAGGTCTTCTGATGCTTTCCCTCCCACCCACACACATTTGGGGAGCAGCTGAAACACCCTGAGCCACCCACAGCCTGATCTGGGGCGGGGGGCTCTCCGTGTGGACCCATTCTTGCAGCCGCACCAACGGGCAGAGGTTTCGGGGAGGGGCTCGTAGCGCAAAAGGGGGCAGGACGGGGATGGTTGGACTCCTCCTTCAGCCATAGGAATGCCCCGGGGGTCTCTGTGCCCCCCTCCAGCCGACTCACAGGGTGGTCGCGGGGATGAAAAAGGAGGGAGAATGTAAGCTGGAGGAAACTTAGGTCAGGATCTAAAAAATGGGTGCTGAAGAAGGGAGCACATCCTTCAATGCGGTCACGCTCTGAAGAGCCAAGGGGTGGCCCAGTCTAAATGGATCTATAAAGCCACCTAAGAGCTGGTGAGAGGATGATGACGATGACAGTGATGATGATGATTTATTCAACTACTACGCTGCCCAACTCCCGACAGCTCTGGGGGGGGTCACAACAATCGAACAAAGAATGAGGCTAAGATCAATAAAAGAGACCGAGATGAAAAGATGATTGGGAGGATTCAGCGCCAGAGGAGGGGACCCATTCCTCAAAGCGCCACCCGTGTTTTTCTAACTGAGAGGAGCCCCGATTCTGGGAGTCATTTTTCTTCTTAAACCACAGAGAGCAAGCGCCGGTGGTCAGTCCCTCCCATCAACGCCCCCCCAAGCCTGCAAGAGATGCCCAGGGTGGCCAGGCAGCGTTTCTCGCCAAGGGGCACTGGCAGCTTGAAGCCCCCCACCGGCTGGGCTGCTCCCCCTCTTGCCAAAGACCCTCAGTGGTCTTTGTGGAGGAAGGAAATCTGCCCCATGCTCGGGAGGGGAGGGGAAAACCCACCAGGGCTTCATCACCACATTCCTCTGTGTGTGTGTGAGTGTGTGTGTGTGTGAGCACCTTCAAGGCAGTCTTGACTCCGGCAACTGCGTGGACAAATCCATAGGGTTTTTGGGCGAGACTTTTCAGAAGGAATTTGCCCTGGCCTCCTCCTTCCTGGGGCTGAGAGAGAGGGACCGGCCCCATGGTCACCCCGCTGGCGTGGTGCCCAAAGCAGAACTCACAGTCTCCTGGTTTCCAGCCCAGTGCCTCTAACCACTACACCAAACAGCCTCTCTTTAGCAAGGACAAGACGTAGCCTGCCTCCAAAGTATACTTCAAAACGTAATAAAGCCCCCCCCCCCTTATTTTATCTTCACTCAATAAATTAGCATCCTACTGATGACCCTTCGTTCTCCAGAGTCAGGTTGCGTTGATCAACCCCAAAACCCAGCCGGGCTGCCTCTGACTCCAACTTTCCTATTCACTAGACCAATGTTTCTCAACCTCAGCCACTTTAAGATGTGTGGACATGCTGGCTGGGGGGTTCTGGGAGTTGAAGTCCACACATCTTAAAGTGAATGTGGTTGAGAACCCTTCCATGAGACCGCTAATACTCATCCAAAGTCATGCGAAAGAACTAACAGACCTAACTTTGACACCAGGACTCCAAAGAAGGGCAAAGTACAGTAAGATCAGAGCATTTCAACTCCCCAGGACATTCAGCGGCCAACCTCAAAGTGACCGTCTGGGAAAAACAGGACTTTCACCGCACTGTTGAACAAGAGACGGCTGAGCTCATGTCCATCAAGACATCTCAGGAGGCCTCGACACACCGAATAAGCTTTTGGGATTTTACGGCTTCGACGATGTGCCTCGGCGTGGCTGTTGGGCAGCCGTGGAGAAGTGCCAGTTACCCCAGCGAGTCAACAAGAGCCAGCGCTGAACAGCCTGCTCTTCGGAGTTCACCCGGGGCCAAGGCAAAGCCACCCTCTGCCAACAGATGCTTTAACTGGATCGTGCCCTGACAGCCCTCCCTCCCCGCCCTCGGAGAGCTGGAGCCGGCAGCGTAAATCTTCCAGGCAGAAAATAAATTCCTCACTCCGCAGCTTGGAGGGCAGAAGCTGGGGCTGAGCTTGGCTGAAACTCAGCCGTGGGCGGCTTCAGAAGGCCAGACCTGGGTCGTTCCTCCAAGTTCCAGGGAGGAAGGGCAAAAAGGGTGGCAAGGCGAGAGGGCATTAAGCGGCCTCCTTGTCTCTGGGGCGGTCATCCGTTTGTCCAGAATGGTCTGAGGATTCCTCTCCTGGGCAGGGGCTGGACTAGAAGATCTCAAACATCCCTTCCTATCTGGGATTCTCGCTCTTCTTGCTGCGACCGAGCTGGGGGCAAAGAGGGGCGAGGAAAAGAGAGACTTTGTCTGGGCGACTGGTCACCCGGCAGCATCTCCCTTCCCCCTCACCAGGACCTATCTCCACCTCGCCTGACCCATCAGCGGTGTCCGCGGTCAAGACGGCAGCCGCGGCCGTGCGACTGATGCTCCGTGGTGCTTTCTATAGGCGTTTCATGTGCTAATAAATTGCACCAATTTAACCTACTGCCCTAACGCGTTTTGCCAATGCTGGTGCCTGAACCCGGTTATCAAGTCCACCGGCCCAGCTCCACAAAGCACTCCGCGTGGCCCAGTTTTTACAGCTGTCTTTTCGACCCAGCAGAGTTGAGGGAACATCTCCAGCCCCAGACTGATGGGGACAAGCGGGTCTTGTGCATCTGTCCACCCCGGTGGCTGTGATCAGATGACTTTGGGACGGTGTGACACCAGCCAGGGAACGCATGGGGATGGTGGTAGCAGCCACGCTAATGCTGCCACCTAATTATAAAAGCAAAAACATTCTCGCTGGCATGGCCAGCTTATGCAACCCTCCCAATTTTATGCATTTATTTGCTAGATGTATATCTCGCTTCTCCTTTTGGAGCTGAAGGCCACATACGTAACGCTCCCTCCTCCTATTTTCCCTTGCAGCAACCACACTGAAGTTTTTTCTAAAGACAAAACACAGATACAGCCCATAAAAAAGCAATACAATCACAACAAAGAATTAAGGAAAAAAGGTTTGTCGTGTGGACTTCAACTAGGATGCAGTATTCATAATAAATAGAGATTAAAAAACAAACAAAGCCATAATATGCTGATCAAAGTAAAATATTCCAGAAATTGGGAAGAGGAACAAGAAGACTCTCCGGAGTCCAGGGGCCGCCACCACTAAGAAGGCCCTGCTTTCAGCTCCTGCCACCCCAACTTCATCCTGAGATGTTCTAAACAGCCAAGCTTCTTTTGAGGATGGTAGGGGATGGGCAAAATTTTGCAGAGAGCCATATTTCCTTCCAGTATCTTGGACCCCAAACTATTTAAAGTTTGGAGTCCTTGGTGTTCTCTGAGCTTGGCGGTTTGCTTGCAGACATTTCATTATCCGACTAGGGAACATCATCAGTGCGAGGGAGGGTGGGGTTTGCTCCCTGTTTATATACAGTAGCTTGCCCTGTTTAAAATTTAAATGAAGGCAAGTGTCTAAAATTGGGCTTGGAAACAAAAACAGTAGAGGCTGTCCTGCTTAGCAACTGCCTTGTTTAGCAACCATTTGCAGTCACTACAGTGATGAAAAAGTAACTTTGTGACCAGTCCTCACATTTACAACCTTCCTGTCTGTAAAGCAAAGGAAACCTGAAGTAGGTTCATAAAATTGTGGTGTTTCGCTTAGCGACTGCTTCGCTTAAGACCAAGTTGCCAGTCCTGATTGTAGTCGCTAAACAAGGAGAAGAGGCTCTGCTTATCCCTCTCATTATCATTTAATAGGGCTATAACAGTGTTTTTCAAACCTGGCAACTTTAAGATGTGTGGACTTCAACTCCCAGAACTCCCCAGCCAGCAT